TATATATATATATATATGTGTATGTGTAACTCGTTCAACCCCTTCGATGCGTGGGTGGTTTATCCTGCGCCAAACATGAGAAACTACCCTTAACAATGAAAGGGATAAATATTACGTCCTACCATAGTCCAGAAGAAATTCTGAATTCTGTTTTTGTTTTTGTTTTTTTCTCTCTTTTCCTCTTAATATTTCTCTAAATAAATGATAGAATATTGGAGAAACAAAACAGCTATACGCGATATTCCTCTTGTCGTGTCAAAATGATCATGATGGCTTCTGGACTGGCAGTAGATCGTTTATTAATTTGAAAGCTCGTTTAGAGCTGATGTTATTATATACGTTATATATGTATGTATATGTATATATATATTTATGTATCTTTTTTTTTTTTTTCTTTTGGAATTTCGAAGAAACAATTGGCTCTTGTATAATGTCGTTTTTAGTAGCTTTTTCTATTGGAGCATAAAAAGAAATACGATTTCAAGAGTCTTTTGAAAAATTAAAATTCTTCAAAGATATAATTTTTAATTTCAAGGATAAGGAAATTTAGAATTTTTCGTTTAATTAATCTTAATTTAATTATCTTTTAGCCAAATGTTCTTCGAGGCAAACTCAAAACGACGTGTAATATATTAGCAATGCCCCTGAATCGAATAATTCGCGAATTTCATAGCGGTTAACGCATAATCCTAAACACTTTTAATTTTTCACTTTCTTCCTTCTTTCTTCCTTCTCCGAAATAATAACTTTTTTTCCTTTCTCTCGTTTCGCCGCATTACACAAGGTAGCGATCGTCCATCTAATTCTCTTTGATTATAAAATTCGCGTAAGCAATTTACTTACTTGTCGATTTAGAAAATATATATATCCTACCTCGATTAAAAATTAATTCGGTTTCCAGATCATTAAAATGTAATCGTTTAAAATTTAATAAAAAGAGATATATCGGGCAAAGATGGTTTAACGGTTTGATGTAATCAGCCATTCAAAAAACGATGAACGCTCAAAGCACTAAAAGCACAGGCGGCAGACGCGCATACATCGACAAGTGTCCCACGAGAGTGTAAAGTGTATCGTATTAAAATACAGCTGTTCAATCTTTTCATTTCTTCTTTTTCTTGCTAATTTTGTAATTTCTCTTTCTTATTTCCTCCCACTTCCCTTTCCTTTTCTTTTTTTGTTTTATTCATCCTCGCTTTTTTCCCCTGGCTTCCATATTTTCTCCCTGTACGTGTATCGTCGTATCAATATTTTACTTTTCTCTCCTCTCCTCTTCCATCCCTCTTTTTATCTCTCGACTTTTTCATCGTCAAATCGTCTAAAAATATGTCCTATGTATTTCTCTTCTTATTTTCCCCATTCGCTCTCAGATTCTCTCCTCCTTTCCTCTCTAATAATTATATCCTTATGATCTTCCATTCATTGTTCATTTTTTTTTTCTTCTTCTTTTTGCGAACAACAAAACGAATTATTACCGACACGCATGCACACATCTGTAAATCGCTTGTACAGGTTGCCTACGCCTAGGTGTATATGCAGAATGAAACACGGACGGTAGTGCCTAAGAGAAGCTCGCCCAAGATCCGAGAATCTCGCGTGCCGAGAGAATATACGCTGGTGCGTTTCGCATTTCCGTGTCGATCATCGTTTTCCAATTTTTCCTCCCCCTTCTTTTCCCGCACGAAAATCGTGTCGTACCACCTCGCGTCACCATACTTCCTCCTTCCACTTTCCTCGCCGTGTACTTCGTTTCTCTTACATTTCAAATCGTTGCTCCTCGATGCCAATCTCCGTCAGGAAGACATCTTCTCCGTCATTCGCATCTCCAATATATATATATATATATACCGTGTATCGCTCAAAGAAAAATCAAAATCGTTGATTATCGATCCGTTCGCCTTAACGTTATATCTCTTCTTCTTTTTCTTCCCCGTACAATACGATTCGAAATCGCGGCACAGCCTTTCCGTGGAAATTACGAAACGTTTCCACGAAGGACTTGGCGCCGCCTCCTCCAACAATCCGTCATCGTCCCGATCGTCCTGGACTCGTCTTTCGTGGGCGATCGACGCGAGCACCAGTGCGTCGTCGAAGAGACTTGACTCGATCTTCGATTCTCGCTTATTCCCTTCTCGCTCCTCCTCGCTAAAGGGACAACCGGGGGGATTTTCCCCTTTTTGGTTGGTGGATTTCCATAAAAAAAAAAAAAAGAAAGGAACCTTCTCCTCCCCCAAAAACGTGGACACGCGAAGATCGACCGTCGACCGACCGGTCTCAAGCTACTGGCACCGAGTTCTCGTCAGTTAGGAACGCCTCGTTACGCTTTGTCCCGCTTTTTACGACGCTATATTCAGGCCTGCGCTTCATGAGATACCATCGAAGTCGGCCGGGACCCTTTCACAAATAGTCGTTGTCCACCGCCTGCGCATCCTGCGACTTCAGGGTGGCCATCTCCTCAACCGTGCCCTCTTCCGCTTCCTGCTCCTCCACGAAGCTGATGCTTCCGGCCTTGTACCACACCACTATGTCCACCACGAAAGCGAGAATCAAGATTCCACCCGTGGTACCTGGACAATCCGTGAAACGATTATCGGTTGAAAGATAGATCGAGAAATTATATAATTAGATATATATATACAATCGTGAAGAGGTTATAAATTTGTAATAACAACGTATTCATCTTGGGAACGATTCATCTCTTCGAAGATATAAATAATATCGGAGAAGAGAAATTTAGCCTTGGTATATTATATATATATATATATATGTATAATAGACAGGCAAGAGCGAGCAGTAGTAAGTCGGATAATCGAGATGCAGATATTTCCGACTTCTCCTCGCCGCAGATTTCTTCTTAACCGCGGTACGTACCATGATAGAACATTCTAAAGACATTCGAGTCGTAAAGCCAGCAGGCACCTCGCTCGCCGCAAGCGTATTCCCATACGAGACAAGCGGAGTCCACCACAGCACCATAAACGATTGGACACGGGACGTTACCTGGAACCAACCGACCAACGGATCATCCGCCTGATAAATTCATTTACGAAGTTCTCCCTTCCGATTCCATCGTCGAGGGGAAATGGAAGATTTCGATCCACGATCCTCGTTACGTGGATCACGATAGATAGGGGAAGGGAGGATGACGGAAGGCATAATAATTACCGAAGAGGCCGATGGCGAATTGTATGAGGCCCAAAGCCATCGCCTTGTCCCGTGGATCCACGCACCTGAGGATCAACAGCATGGAGCCCACCTCGCTGGTCGAGTGTATGAAAACGAACACCGAGAACAGGACCATATAAACCCAAAAGTTACTGCACTCGAGCTCGCAGTAACCGATCGTCGCGGTGCTCGCCGTTTCCGGTGTTGTCAGATTCGACCCGATACACTGGCAGTTGTAAAACTGTAAAAAATCGCGAAACAGGCGTTGTTAAGGTGTGCCGATTGTTTTCTTTCTTTTTTTTTTTTTTTTTTTTTGTACACTCGATGCAACTACCATGTCACGTCTTCTTATACGAGAATTCGTGCGTGAGAATCCTGCGATGGATTTTTACACGTCGGTTATTCGACACGTTTCGACACGATCGATGTATCGAATAGGCAGGTTTGGAAAAAAAAAAACGCGCCATTTTCGATGCGAAGAAAGCGAGAAAATTTGGATGGAATGCATAATATACGTCTTTGGGCACACGCTTTGCGCGTAATACGTACATTTACGTGCGTGCATTTCGTTTAATCCCCGCGAAATCCGAACAATTGGAAATTGAAATGTTCGCGATAAGGCGAATGTTTCAATTGCGAAACTAATGACTTGCTTGGTTGCGCAATCAATGAAGCATTGTTTCGTTCGAATAATGCGATTTCCTTCGCAAATGGTCGGAGCAAACGGCACATTTCTGGCCTAGTTGCATGCCACTGTCACCGATAATTACGATCGAGTCTATTTCCCGATCGAGCATCATATATATCGATATTCTCTCTTTCGCGATGACGTCAGTGAGTCCGCGCTATCAGAGGATTGTACGCGCGAGAAACAGCGAAAACGATTATTCGAATCACGGAGTAACGTCGTAAACAAATCGACAATGAAATCGATGAAATCGATGAAATTTCGCATCGAGTTTTGCGCGTTCTTAAATTGTTGAAACCAAATCGCGAGTAATATATCGAAAAGTGTTCTTTTTTTTTTTTTTTTCCCTCCCCGTAACGGATATCCCGAGAAGATCTCGAGATAACGATCAATGTCCGTGGTACTCACCGATGCAACTTTGCCATCGACGATCGTGTAATTGGAGCAGCCCGCGTGACACGCGGAAAAATAAGTTTTACCATCGGCACCGCAAATCGGACTGAACTTGTTCCGAACGCAGTCGCAGGTAGCCTCGCAGGTCGGCTCGAAGCTGGACAATCTGGAAAGATTTATTCGTTGTCGTTCGTCATTTTTCCTTTTTCTCCTCCCTTTTTCTTTTCTATCTTCTATTAAAGGAAAAGGAATTGGCTCGAAACTTTTAACAACAACTTTACGCGATCGAATGGATTGGTATTATGGTAGTAAAAATACTTACCCGTCAGAATGGGAAACTAGACCGGCGAAATCGTCCATAGGGCAACCGATGAACATCAGCACACCCATGCCGATCGCGTATATTACAGCTGTGAAGGCGATCCAGGCTGCGACGAACCTGGCGTTAGGCTTTGCCCTCAGGATAAACACTCCGCTAATTATAATACCCAAACCCATTACTAAAATACCACCGACACCTGCGAAGAGAGAAGTCAAAATCGTCATATCGCCCTTCTGTAGTTTCTTGTTTCTTTGTCTCGGATTTAAATTTCGAGAAATCTTGGATAAAGCGGGGCGTCTCTCTTTCTCTATTTTTCTTTTTCTTTTTTCTCGATTCAAGAGAGAAAGAAAGAGAGAAAGAAAGAGAAAGATTGGAAGGATCGAAATATGTTGATGGAAAAAAAAGAGGAGAGGGAGGAGGATCGGGGCGAGAAAGTTTGCTCGCGTGTCTATTGGCGAAAATTACCTGAGATCATGTTCGCATGATGAGCTGGCAAGCGAAATTGGCTCTCGAGGTACTTTGGCAGGAAGGTGTAGAGGCCGGCGATCGGTAGGATGTGCAGCACGCTGCTGGCCGTCCGGAACATAAGAATGTCGTTCTTCAACAGCCTCTTCACCGCTTTAGGGAAGTCTGCAACAGGTAGAGAGAAGGCGAGGTGTAGCGAGTGCATCGAGTCGTGCAGGCGACGCGCGAGCCGTGCATCGCGACCTGCAGCGAAACCATTTACATAAAATTTATTCCTCCTCTTTTTTTTGCCTCCCCGATCCTCTTTGTCTCGTCCCTTTTTTTCTCTCTCTCTTTCTTTTCTTTTCTTTTTTTTTATTTTTTTTTTTACTTCCGAAGATCATTCCTTAAAAGTCGAGAAAATAATTCATCAACTTT